ATCTACAATATTTTCAAATTGCACCACATTAGCTAAAGAATTTACTAATCAACCAAAGCTTACTTCAAAACTATCTTTTACATGATTTACACTAAAACTAGCTCTTACTGTTTACGACATCTGTCAATTTGTAATATTTTAGTCAACGAGAGTAGAAGATACCTCCCTCTACATAACCAGTATTATCTGTGGATGCTAGACATAGATGTGATCTCAAGCACATTATCTGAATCCAAATACAGGTAAATGTCCCTATTCAGAGCTTTTATGTTTCTGAAATTATTGTGGGGTTGTCTGCAGGATTTTTTTTTTCTTTCTTGAAGGGGTTCAGTCACCTTATACCGAATATGTATATGAAGCACTGCATTATCACAAGCATTTCCTCTTCTATTTTCCCAGAAAAAAAAAAAAAACACAAGAGTCTTCAGAACAGGCCACTCTCACCATCTTTTTCAGGTTAGGAGGGTAATCTGTTACTAGAAGTCCTTTGTAGCTAATGATTATGTCATTTATTTTACTGGCCATTGTAGGGGTACTGATGAATGGGGCACTCCTGAAGGTAAGGTTATTCTGAACACATCTTCCTGCCTGACACTTGCTATCTTGGTTGAACAGAAGCCAAGTATACCTACTGCAAGCTGAATTACGTATTGTCTAGCTACTAGGATATACTTCCATACAAGTGTAAATGCTACATTTGCAATATGCTTTTAAAAAAGAATAAAAAATGGTAATTCTCTTCTGTTCAAGAATACCAAGAAAAAAGTTTAGCCTGACTTGGCTTTTATTACCTTATGAAAAAGTGTTTTTAAAACCTTCTTAGAAACTGTATTTAGATCTTGCAAAGTCATGGGAAGTACTTCACTTGCTTTCTTTGCTATATGAACATGTAAGGTAGTGCTGACACACAGGGATTCCTGGTAAATCCACACTTAGAATCCAAATGCCCATTTCCATTACGGCTGCAAGGCAGTGCATGCCTAAAGGAACAGGTATTACGTACATAACCTTAGAGACAAGGGGGCATTGCTATCTTACTAATTATAAAGTGAACTGGTAGCTCGTATTTGGTATTCTGCAAATCTTCAAGAACATTTTATTAGCCACTAAATACATTAGCATTATTGGCATCCTGAAATGCTCCATTTTTAATAAGACACCCTATCACCTGATGTAGCAGTAAAATTACAAAGATCATATTCATTCAATCAAACAGATCTTCCTGGCACTCTATCCAGGCTCATAATAAACATAGTCTCTTTTAAATTATATATTAATTTGGAACAATTTTATAGAGCTCTCACTGTATTGAGGCCCCTTTCTACCCAGAAATCTGCATTACCTGGAAGCATATAATGATACAAATTTCAAATAGATTATGCAAAAACTGAATGCACAGTAATCTAATACACGCACTGCTGTACCCTCCTCATCAATAGTTAAAAGAACTCAGCAATATCGTAGGCAAGATACTGCAGAGTTAAAGCCATCTCATGCTTGCGTTAATTTTTATTTCAAAAAATTTAGCTGGTAATTTCTTCTATCTTCTACATACCTAATTAATGTAGGAGACAAAATATACCAGCGACATATTATTAGATGTAGGCATGAAACAGTTAACAGCAGCGCACATGCCAAGGTTTTAATAAGGCTTAACAATAAAAAGCTTCAATCCTCCACTTTCACTAGATTTTGTTGTTGTGGTTTTCCCTTGCTTAGGGCAATCCATCTGTTAACGTTGACTTGCAATATAGCTAAGCTCGCGCATGTATAAAAAGCCTAGAACAGCTAACCTAAGCAACAGTAAGCTCAAATGAATATTACACAGATAGAACAATTCATCGTAGGCAAAGATTAATTGTGTGTGCATGTACGCGCGTGCACACAGGCACGTATGCGTGTGCTCCCATTATTTCTTTTTTTAGGAAATACTTTCAAAATGCAAATTATAGGAGGGCAAGCTGATCACTACAGTTTGCAATAACACATTTAATTATTTATCCTCTGATTAGGTTTTGACAGCTATTTTACATGCTATCATTTGTTTTGACTTACTGTTAATTTTTTTAAAATCTTTTGCCAATCTGGCAGAAAAAAAAACCACCAACAATAAAACCACTATGACAGCAGTGATAAAACTTAGTAAATATTCATTGTTAAAAACGGCTCTGCACTGTGACCAGTGCTGGTATTCTCCCTGGGCCAAACTGGCCTTGTTTTCAATAAAACCAGAGAAGTATCCTTTCCCTTGAGCCCTGTTAGGCTGAGGCTGCAGTTGGAACTGTCATCTTCACACAAAAGCAAAGGGGTTGGGTTTTACAAACGCAAAGCCTAATTGGGAGATCTTCATGGCTGTACTCTTGACATTTATTAAAGCCTCATCAACAAAACAGGAAATAACCGTACTAATTAGCAGACCCAGATACAAACTACTATTTGTTGGGGTAAAAGCAGATTCACTTCCTATTGTAAAGGAAACGTCCTCCCAGACACCAAAATCCTGTTATGAAGCAATTATTAAAATGATCTTTTACAGCAAAGCCAGCTATCATATCATACATAATGTTTCAAAATAAATATTCTTTACAGCATCTCGGGTAACTATTAGTCAGTATTTACATTTAACTGTTTGCAAGAAGTGGAGAATGAAAAGCTCACCTAACATGACATAAAAATGTAACACCAAATTCTTTATATTTACAAGTTTCTAAATGCTTCAGTATGGAAGAGATAAAGTGCAAAGGTGCCTCTTGTTCGGAAGCAAGATGACCATTAAAAGCAATCTCTCTCGTGCATTTGTTGTTTATTTAGGTTTTGGGGGGATATTAAAATGCACTGACATTGCAACATAATCAATATCTGGTCCTTACTCTAAATCCACATCAAAGTGCATGAACAGCACATTAGCACTATCCTTATACTGCTATAGACCCTCACGGGCACCCTTTTACAAATCTGGGTAGAGAGGTTCATTTGCAGGATAAAGAGTTACAGAAAAAAAAAGATTCAACGTGACAACAGCAGCAATCTGCGAAATTCACTTACTGTAAACGGCAGATTCAGTACTAGATCAAACACAGCCTCTCTCTACATGTGCACTTGTGAATACAAATACATATTGTCATTTGGATGGAAAGTTTAAAATCACCACTTATTCATAAAGAACTCGCATTTCTGTTGTCTTATTCAAATGCCAAGAGCTAAAATAAAAACAAGAGTACTGACAGTAGACTATTATTTTTTTAGAAATCCTTTGGTTTGTTTACTTTTGGGGAGGAGGAAAAAGCGGGAATGGTGTGATTGAGGGGTGAAGGAAACTGTGCAAGAGCAAAGTTTTGGGGAGCGATCACCATTTGCTCCTTCGTGCCCACTGGGCTCCCGTGGCCTTGGGGACAAGAGCTGGGGAGAAGACACGGGACCTTCAGCTTGCAGCAGGGCAAAACTGCAGGGCTATTAGTTACAGGCTTCACTAGGAAACAAACCCTATGTACGTACACACATATGTATATGTGCATACACATACATAAACACGCATGTGCATGTGTATGTATGTAAACAAAACTACGGACAGATGTGCACTCCTTCTGCCTTGTTTTCAAAACTGAAAGACAACTGACTGGTAGAAACAGCAGCAATGATATTAAAGGACTGAGCAGTACACACCTGTACGAACATGAAAACATACCAAAGTTAAATTGTTCTGTCCGAACCCAGGCCTTCAAAAGAAATATTTAATTGCACCAAGGTAAATTATGTTCCTTTGTATCCCTAGACTCTTGCACCTAACAGTAGGCAGCACTACCAGATCAGTAAATTACTGCAGATTTCTTTAATAACAGCAGCCTATAAAAATTCACTGACTCCAAGGGTACGTCTGTGTTACGTACTTACACAGATACGTACAACTGTAGATTCACGGGCACTAATCTGTGAATGTTGGCTTATAATGGATTAAAAGCTTTTTAGTACCTCACAGTATTGAATTATTTTGGTGGGAAAAAGTTGCTAAAAAAAAAATCTGCCTAAATAATTAAAGCAGAAAGTCTCTGTATTATTTGTAACCCCAGTAAAAATAATGACTTAGCACAAATGTACGATTTCAACATCATTTAGCAATAATCTGCATCAGTTTTATGTTAAATTTCACAAAGTTTATATTTACTATGGACAAAAACTATGGATTCAAATTTTTATCACTGCAATATCTAAAGTAAAAAACAAAAGTTCTTAGATAAACTTGAGTCAACTTCTATACTTAATTCTCATATAAGGAAGATATATGCATTAAAAATCCATATATATACATTAATTACATGTATTAAAAACATGCAATAGAAATGTAATGTAAAAATATATAGCCACACATTAAAATATTTACATATGCAGGTATTTATTCCCAGAAAAAAGTGTTACAAAAACTATTTTATTAATAAATTTGAAATAAAACTGGAGAAATGAATCCAAAGACATTAAAACACTTGCCAAAGTTGAGACACTACACCTGTTACTTCAAATCAAGACTAGAAAGGATTAAAAGGACAAGAGATTGGCATAGCATTAACTAGCTGACTAATTAATAAAATAATTCATCATAACTATCTGAGCCAGGTTAAAGGACATAGGACTGCCAAATCAATTTATTAGAAATAAAAAACAATGTGCCCCACTATAAGCAACTGAAGAAGATAGCTGAACACAGATCTATGAATAGAGCAGAATGCATTTGCTGTGAGAAGCCCTTATCAAAACTAGTCAAGATTTAAATCTCAGAGCCACACTCATGAATCCCCTGTTTCTTCCCCACTCAAAAGGGATGAAATATGAATAGTGTTTTTCCTCCATTCAAGCAGTATAGCAGTATTTCTACAAACACAGCCTTTCAATAACACTATCCAAACACAGGCAGTAAAATCATCTTAAACAGATTCACCGATCCATTACTGTGAGCGGCAAAAAATTTTCCTCCTATGTATGTGAATAAGAAGTTTCAGGTGTCTTACCTGTGCCAGTCTTCGTTTTTCTGAGTTTGCTCTTTTCTCATAATGCAACGTGTAGACAGGAACAGTCTGTACTGCACCAGCACTGCAAGTTCCATACTCTTCCTCGCTCTCCTACGCAACAAAACAGATTTAAATTCCTTTATTTATAATCATTATCTGCAAACCTACCCTCCATATTATGCATGCAGAGTGCATTCAAAATTATCTTGCCACAATCTATTACTGTCATGAAAATACCATCTGTAGTAAAAAAATCAAATTTAGCTTTCCAAGAAGCTGAATTATCAACATTGTCATTTAAAAGATGAATTGTTCAAATGTCTAGGAAATATTTTTGAAAGTTTTCTTAAAATAGCATAAAATATATCTAAAACCTGTTTCTTTCTCCTTATAGAAAAATCTTACGTGGAAACAATATTTTCCGTGGGAAAAGCAGCTGCAAAAAGCCTAAAACATCTTTTCTGCTATTTCTGCAATGTTGCTTTTGCAAAATGAAACTATTCCTTCATTTTGAAACATTGCCATTGTTCACATATCTTATGAAACCAAAACGGACAAGTACACCTTCTGAAATACATTGTACTGCAAGACTCTCCCATCTCAAATTCTCAGCTTGAAGCAAAGGCTTCGATTGTGATATCAAAGCAATCAACTTTATGAAAACATACATCCTGTTAATGTATCTTTGAAGACCTCTGTTGTTCTATGATAAAATATGCAAACAATAAAGAGATTATTCAGTGGCTGCATAGAATGACAGATAGTTGCCAGAGGGCTCGTTATGAAAAATGTATTGTTGAACAAAGGGCTAAGCATATTTCAAAAGTCATTAAAAACACAAATCTCATGTGATTTGTAAAGTATAAACTTCAAACTGATACAGGAAGCAACGTAAGAAAGTAGAAAGTGTAGTACGTACCTTGTGTTTTAACTTATTCTTCACTTCTTTTATTCCTTGCCTTGCCTGATTTTTTGCCTAGAAAAATAAAAGGACTTGAGTAGCTCTGCAAGATACTGGCTGTAGTCATGGAGCCTGCTTTATGATGCCATACTTATTTTACCTTTATTTTAAACACCTGCTGATATAAAGAAGGGCAATAACCTTTATCACGAATTTCATACACGCATTGTCAGTAGATTTTATATATTCATGATTTGTCCATATTTTTAAGGACTTCTTTTTTTAGTACACGCATGCCAATGCTGTGAAAACATATATACTCAAAAATTCTCCAATATTACTAAGGACAGGCTAAAAATGGTAATATACATCACTCCTTTATTTGAAAGGGTATTTTAGCAGTAAGGTATGTCAGAAAAATGTTAAGATTTTCAAGATGACTGCTTGTTCCAGTCTGGCAACTTGCAGGGCAACATCAATCTTAAGAGAAATGAAGTGATTTCATATGCAGATGGGGATTTTGCCCAGTGCTGCTGAACAGCATAGAGCTGCTATTTAGGGGAGAATTCTGTATATATTAAAACAGGCAGCCAAGAATCACTGCTGCATAGAAATCAGCCAGGAATGTTCTTCAATAGAGAAATGAATTATCAATACAGAATACCATGTACTTATGCTAAAAAAACATTAAAAAAAAAAAAAAAAAGAGAGAGAGAGAAAGTGCAGGAGAAGAAAAAAAAAAAAGATGTGGGAACGACACCAAAACCCCTAACCCTAATAAAAGGTCTCTTCCTTATATGTATATAGGGAAAAGCTATGAAAGTTTTCAAGGTTGTCTTGAATATAGGACTTTTCAAAACATTTTAAGGGCATAAATATTTGGAAGCCACCCGTTTTTCTATGGTTTTCTATCCATGGAAATTCAGAAAAAGAAAATCGTTTTCTTGACTCAAGAGGTCTTTAAAAAAAAAAAAAGAGAGAGAGAGAAAGTGCAGGAGTAGAAAAAAAGAAAAGATGTGGGAACGACACCAAAACCCCTAACCCTAATAAAAGGTCTCTTCCTTATATGTATATAGGGAAAAGCTATGAAAGTTTTCAAGGTTGTCTTGAATATAGGACTTTTCAAAACATTTTAAGGGCATAAATATTTGGAAGCCACCCGTTTTTCTATGGTTTTCTATCCATGGAAATTCAGAAAAAGAAAATCGTTTTCTTGACTCAAGAGGTCAGAGAGTCTTTTTGATCCTTAAATCATAATCTAGTAAGCTCAATAACAGCACAATGGGGTGCCATGTAGCAGATGCTAACCTGAGAGCCACGATAAACTTTCCAGCTCACGCTCACAGCGTTTGGATGAATTTTGGAGTGCTTTGTTCTAACTCTGAGGGATGGTACCAGGCACATTACTCAAGGCTACCAATCAGTTATCTAGCAATTAAGAAACGCATATTTCATTTCTCAAGAAGTAGGCTCCATAGAGGGCAACAGCATAAGAAATGAAATGAGGCATAAATATTAATACCTTATACACACAGATCCTCACAAAATTTACTAGTGTTTCCTGGCATACACAGAAGTTCACTTTGAAGAACCTTTATTATCAAGGACATATTTATCAAAATGGAAGGCTGAGAGAAGGTCATGTAACCACAGCCTAAGCTAGTGCAAACTGAAGAAAAACAATTTGCAGATAACCTGTTAATGAACCATTTTTTAAATTATAAATGAGTCCATGAATATGAAGTATATTTAATTTATTTACCTGTTTCTCTCCATGACTGATACATTTTTCAACTGATGTAAAATTAAAAATTCTGTTTGAAAACTTTACTTAAAATACACTAGCTTAGATTGATGTACTGATTTATTTAGGACTACTTATTATGCATCCAACTAGTGAAACATTTGGAAAAGTAAAAAGGAAGCCAAAAGTCTTCTCCAATATATTAAAAATGCAACCTTAAAATACTTCCCACTTCATTTTACACTATTGCTGGTTTTTTCCATCCTGCATAATACTGTATAATTTCACATGCTTCGTTGGTTAGGAAGTCTTTGAAAACAAGATCTTTTAAGCTCAAAAGTATAAGCATTAAATCCAGTTAAACGTGAGTATTCTAGTATCATCATTAAAAGAGCAGATGATAGAAAAGACTTGCTGCACACATTATTGATGCCTTACCACATCTTTTCAATAGTGCAGCACTTAGTGCCAAAGTGAAAATGCATCTGTGTAAACCTGGACTCCATTTGTCCAGCCTGAACTCTGTCTCTTCTGAATAGCCATCTCTACATCATGTTAACAGTATATAGTACGTACCTATATACTATAACACTATATTTATATTACATATAAATGGAACATTTACAAAACATTGTAAACTTTATGTTAACTTTGCAATGCCTGTGGTGTGTTACAGGACCTTAGTGTAAATGAGAATTTCTATTTTCAGAGTTCATCTTTTAATCATGCTGTCACCAGGATAGGAAGAGTTTACAGCTGTGTATCAAATATCTAAATGATATTCAAATAAGCTTCTAGTATGTGTTACGACTGAAACAAACCCAGCCCACTGATGCTTTGAAAACATCTATTGTTATGTACAAGCTATCTGGGAGAATCTGAACCCACTCTAAAATCCTAGTGCCACATGAGAAAACAAATGAAGCTAAAAACTTTTGAAGGGCTGAAGTGTTTTTCTTCAAGACATTTACAAAATACTTAGGTTTTTAAGTATTCATAAAGAATGAGTGGTTGCAGGAAGCTGCGGTATTTTTATGTATTATTTGAAATGATCTTACGAATTTATATGCTGTTTTCACAGCTGGAGTGGCTTTGGTCATTGCTGTGTTGATCAGTGCACCACCTTTCTGAAAGATACAAAAACCGTATTTTAGTAACATTTTAATGCAAGTCAAACCTTAAGACAACAGCAAGGAAAAATAAACAGTGTGCTGTAAAGAAATAACAATCTTCCTTTTAAATCAGTAAGAATAACCACAGCTGTGCTTCCTCCCCAACCTGCTGTCTGCAGCTACACAGGGGTTACAGTACGTCATTATCATAGCTGACACATTTATCAACGCATTCTAACAGAATGATGTATTTTCATTCTTCATTCACTGTTACCATTTCAAAATCAATTCAGAACTTATGGCTATTTTTCATGTGTTCTTATCATATTTATTATGCAACTTAAAAATACTTTGACCTGACAGAAAGAACTATCTCATTTAATCACACAAGAATTCTCTTAATCTAAAATAATATATTTTACTAATCCTGTAGAATAACAAGGTTATACTAAGGGTCTTCTGATAGCCAAACTGGACAAATCCATGGTAACAGAATTGCTATTCACTAGAAGTGATAAACTTCATATCAAATTGTACTGTCACACCTAATTCACAGTTATGGAATGCAACATGATAGAGAAAGCAGTGAAATCCCTGACTATACAGACAGGAAAAGCTTGTGTGTTTTGGTATGTTTTGGGTATGGGACTTTTTTTTTTTTAAATCTTCAAGAAAAAACTTATTGCATATACCATAGACATGTTATTTCTTATGGAATGTTCTTAATATTTTCAAAAAAACAAATGAATGAACTTTTACCATTACATATATGTAAGGAAAAGGACAGATTTAAAGACCAGGATGGCCAGTATTATTATTATAAACTTAACCCAGTTTATACCTTCACTGTATGCATCCACTGCTGATAAGATCTCGAATTTCCTGAAATAGAAATGCAAGATGTAACACAATCAAACATACATTCTACATTTTAAATGTTTCAAACCTCTTCACAATCTGCATTAAAAATTCCTTTAGAGGATTATTCATTAATTTCATTCTTCCCAGACAGACAAGGAATGCAAAGATAAGAATATGTGTACACTAAGAAAAAATCCTAGGTACCTCTTATTTCATGTTTTCTGTTTTCTTTGTAAAAGCATATCTTTTCACCACACACATTTTTTAATTCCGGTTGAGGTAGAAAGAGAAATTAAAACTATGATAAGGTAACATACTGCTATGAAGTCTAAAAAGAAAAACACCACCCCAAAAGAAAAGAATAATATATAATGAACCGCATTCAAGCATAATGATCCCACTGGGCAAACTTTCAAGTACAAAAATGACAGGGACTGCAGATAGTATCATCCCAAGGAAAAAGAATGAGAGAAAAGACTAAGGATTATGTCACAACTTACTCCTGCACAGGGAAAATCCTTTTAAATTATTAAATGTATGTACTGTCCTTCACAAAGGAAAACCCCTAAAAGGCAAGTGAGAGGCACTGGCTTCTGCAGGACTAGCAAGGGCTACTCTGCAATTAAGCTGGCTGGGAAGGGCAGGGTTACATTCTACCAAGCACTTGATGAAGAAATGAAGACTATTTCCCAAAGGTGCTTCAGCTGAACACCAAAGATTGGGTCCCTGATCCCCGAGAAAGTTTTAGAGTACCTCCGACACTTGACTACGCTCTGGTACCACGAGCTGCTCCTAATCCCAGCCAAGGCAGTCACGTTGACGAGACTGCTGAAGTTTCAAACAGAGGCTCCTTTGTTTCGAAAGGTCCATACTGATATATCCTTACCATCACAGAAATTTAACAGGAGTTCTCAAAACTTCTTCAGCTTTGCAATAATCAATTAACTAAGGCCTGGGTTGAATTATCGCATTGGCTAGGGGAAAGCCAAACCATTCTCCCAGAACATGGCTGAGAACTAGCTGGGTCACTGGAAAAGGTCATCCCAAATTTCTCAGTGAGATGAAAAAACTGAGCTGTTTATATTCAAATCAGGCTCTTTTACCCATTCCACTGAACTTTTTGCAAGCAAATTTGAGGCAGCCAAACTCTGAGGAATGACTGCACAAGTGAAAGCAATACTTGCTTAAAAAGGAGAGAACCTGATGATCATGATGATCCTATCTCCAGCATGCACATCAAAGAGCAACCAAAAGCACAAATGGCACTTCTTTTACTTCAGTATGGTTCCCTGGAACCACCAGAGAAGGTAGCATGCAAGTAACATGTAATAAGGTGAAATTCAGCTGCTGCTAGTGTGTTAATGGAATTTCAATGAACCGTAAGTACTTTCTCTAACATGACATTTCATAACTTCAAATTCTTATTAAAAAATATTCATATAACATCTGGCTTGTGGCGTCCTTAACAGTGACTCTTTCCACATCTGCGTTTTCTCTGTCACAGCCTATGATTTAAGTAATTACTAGAGACAGTAAATGAGATCACGGAAAATCACCAAGAAGTTTAACTGTCTTCTAGTTGTGTAGAGCGACTTCAAGGAAGGCAATAAAGAAAACAGATAAAACTCTCATCTGCAGAAAAGGCCATGTTCATACTGCGTACCCTCAGCTAGAGTTGAACCTCCTGAAAAATCTAGCAAGAAAGTGCTGGCTCCCTAAAATAAATTACTATTAAAAGAGAGGCTCGAAGGATTCTATTTTTCAGTTTTCCTTATGCTACCACCATTGATATTAGACCAACTCAAAAAACAACTGCTATAGTAAAATTAATGTGATTACAAATAAATTACTTTAATGGATCTATTCTACAACAAATCTAAGTACTAAGCCAATCAACTATCACTATATTCTGGTATTGAAAGTTACATAAAAGTTTTGAGAACTAATACTTCCACAGAATGATACGTGTAACAAGAAAATAAAAATTTAAGTATACACTGCAAAATGTAATGAAGACAGCCAACAAATTTCTTTTAACATTAGTCATGGGGAAATAAGTTATGACTGCTTTACTGAAAAAAAAAAAATCATTAAAAAAAATGAAATCTAAGTTTCATTCTCTAATTTCCAGCTTAATTTTCTGTGCTGGTTTAGTCATGCTCACATACGTGTAAAAAAGCAAATTAAAAGTAATGAATTAAAGAAACACTTTCCATTTGATTCAGTAATTTTTCAGTTATACTCTCTATAGCTAAGAATATGTTCACCTGTCCTTTTAACAGCTTGTAGCTTACACTAACTTTCTGTGACTTTTCTGAAGGCTGGGTTTCACCTGTTTGTTTTTTTTTTTAAAAAAACCTTGGGCTTCTTGATAAAGTTGGTGGGAGTTAAGTCTGCAAAGAGATCACAGTTCTACCCCATTAGCGTCACAAAATGTCACCTTCAATTGCATACATATTGTTAGCCCTGCACTTCATAACGATAATGAGACAGCAGTTATGTAAATACTGAATGCGTGCCCTAAGCAATTTGTCCACAACCTGGCAAGACACAGCTTGTCTGACTTGAAAAGCACGCACCCAGTGCAATCTAAGCAAGAACTGCTGGTGAAGGCAAGCGTTGCCTCCTGAGCCAAGCCAGGTGAGACACAGTTCACGATCTGCCCCAGCACAGCCAAGAAACAAGCTTTATCTAACTTCCACCGCAGTTTGATTGCAGCCTCCTGACCCCCTCACTGCAGTCAGCAAACCAACTCTGAATACGGACATTGCCTGTCTGAATAATGGATGCACAATGCCTAAATCCTGTTTACAGAGCAGCATAAGTTACCCTAAAAAGGCAGAAAAGGAGTCATCTCTGGATAACTAACCATACTTTAATCAGGAAAAAACCACCACAAATTATGTGTTAGATCATAGAATGAGACACAGAGGGCAGGAGAAGGCAGTGAAAATCTTCAACAAAAGGATTTATGTACTCCGAGTACAAAAAAGGCATTCTGCAGAAGGTGAAGGTGGCTCTGCACTACTTGATGATTTCTCTGCAGGGGCCACATCCTCTCCTCTACGCATGCCCATTTCAGGGTAGTCTTGCAAAGGCAGACCATCTAAAGCTGACATATGCAAGTCAGTGGATTTGCTCAAATCACATAACCTCCATTTACTGAGGAAGCTTTTACACTACCTTCAAGATTGACCATAAAAACAGTATTTGTGCTGTGTCATGCTTATTTTGATCCAGTATTTTGGTAGCTTCTATGATACCTCAGATAACCATAGAGCTGCACTAAATGTTTAACAGGAAACCATTCAATAATCCTGTAATAATCAGGAATGGATTCAGCACTCACTCTTCTATATGGGTTAACTTTGTAAGCTAGCTAATGTGAAAAGTGAACATAATTGAGGGAGACAACACAAGGAATACTATTTTTGTTTATGAAGAAGGTAAATTCCATTGTCCCTTCTCAGGTGATATGTAAATGTTAAAATTTTTCCCCTCTTTTTCAGAGTGACACATTTTCTGGAAAAAGCAAATTTCTCTAAAAATTCAGGAAAGCACACTGATTTCTGCAGTGCAGAAATAATTAGAGTCGAGAAAAAGTTAGAAGTGTATATGGAAGACATAACTATCTAGAAAAAGTTCAGCACAAAGTTCAGAATTGTTTTAAAAATACAGTTTACACAGAACATATATAAATGTGCAGTTAAAAATGTAAACAATATAGTGACATTTCATCATATACTGAAATCTAAGTAATATTTTACTGGATTAAACCAAAGTATCTTCATTTAATACACTAACTAGATACATCATAGCGTGTGTCCCAGCAATTATTTGTTATAGGCTAAAACCTTTCCAAGAATGAATGGAAACAATGATGCAGTAACAAGATTAATGAATTCTAAAATTTACAGGACATCACGAGGACATCAACAGTTCTCAAAGAAGAAGTGTCAATAAATACACACAAATTAATTCTGTACCTCCACAAAAGCCTCCTGCTGTGATTTCTTCTTCAAAAGCATCAGAGAATCCTCTTCCTGCATTTAATTTTGATAGCCGACCATCAATAAACTGAAAAAAAAAGTCACACTTTGTTGGCCTTTCTATTGCTTTACAGTGTTATAGTTTTAAGTGTGAAATTTATAATGGAATATGTACATTCAATACAACATTGAGTTTAAGGATAATATGGTGCCTTTAGATGGATTTTTCAAGAGCAGTTGCAACTATGAGCAGCAGAAATGTCACAGTATTTTATATAGATCTAGTAAATTATCTACATTATGCAAAATTTACAATTTTTTTTCAGAACTATTTCAAGTAATTTTCAAGCTTTTCTTATGGCACAAAAATATATTAATTTATCTCCTTATAAATGGTAACTTTGGATTTGTAATCAGAAACCTAAAGGTCACTAAGACATTCCTTGATGTTCTGTTGTGGAATCAGAAGTTGACTTCCTAGCAACAAAACAACACAAGCAAACCTCCCTACGGTATCCCTTTGTGGGTCTAAAGTAGAACTTGCTGTACATAAAAACTACCTTTGGAACAACTGGAAAAGTTTCACCACGCTCAGTTCGAAGAGGCAATAGGCTACGATGGGTACTTGAGGGCCAATAGAAGCATGTGTGTTCTACAGGAAAAATGGCCCTGTCAGGACAGCCTGTGAGGGGAAACTGTAGTAGAACCACCCAGTGAAACAAGAGAGGAAGGCTGTGGCGTGGTTTCAGAAAAGGTGGCAGCAGCAGGCTGGATCTGACGGGCAGCGTGCAAGCTGACTGGAAGGACATTTTGTTCACCTGTACGGGAACGCGACACAAAGCGCCAAACCAAAGTGAGGCAGAGCGCCAAGGCAGAGCCCTAAGGCCCTCTCCACCTGCCTGGGCACAGTCCAGGGTTGACACCACTGTATTGTTAAGTTCTAACATGCTTGTTTACCCTTTATGGTTTTTTTAACTACTAACATTTAGATGCATCTACAGACACATATTGCACCAGCTGTCCCTATGCAGAGGTTACAGCTGCACGAGCACATGGATTTACATCTAGAGATAAGGATGTATACACACACTGAAACGATCCGCATACGTCAGAAAAAGTCAAAATAAGACAATTGACAAGTAAACCTCTCAGAAGGAATGAATGCATTCTTTTCAACAATTACCGGGGGTTCAAAAAAGTACAGTGAGCACATTCTTAAAGGTTTAAAATTCTTTCAAGAAGCAACCCCTCGCTTTTTGTTTTGAAAAGGCTAACTCAAGTCTGCGAGATAAAGTGAGAAAGCATCTTCCCAATTACACAAGGTTCACCCTCTAGAAAGAATTATGAGTTATTCACTGGTACTAAACAGTACATAGGAACTAACCAAAATGAATTATTTGGCTATCTCATATTTTACCACAGATTATCCAAAGTGTCAGTGACAACTGGATGCTTGTCAATGAACAGACTAGTGATATGAAACAAATTACTTTCTCAGAGTACAAAAACTCCAGCAGCAAGAATAAGACAAGCACAAAGACAATAATTTCTCTCTCTTTTTTGTCTAAATTCTTTCTTATTTTTAGATTTTACTCCAAGTTGGATTTTTTCCAAATAGGTTGGTTCATGGTCAGACCATTATGGGATCACTGGATTATTTCACAGTAAGAAAAAGAGATAAGAGCATCTTTAGCTACTGCTGTGGGGAAAAAAAACCAGCTCAACCAAACCCCCACTCCCACCCCCAGCCTTTGAACTGTAAGACATTATCTCTTTTGGGAAAGTTATGAATTCATTCCATACTATAAACTAACGTATAAGATTTATGGACATACTCATCATTTGGTAAAATTCTGTCAGCAGAAGGCTGCAACACTGACTGAACTTTAGTTTTTTAGAGGATCACTTCAACTGAGTATTTAATGTAAACACTAACAAACAGCTGTTAGCAGAAAGATACTGGAGATTTGTTTAAAGGAAATGATAAGTGTCCGTAGTGCTGGTGGTAGTAGTAGTTATTACTTTTGAGTAATTTACTGTAAATGGTTGCACTTCAATTGCTATACGAAAAGAGCAGCATGTGGAATTACACATACACTCTATGGTTTTCTCCAAATTTTCAAGCACTTACTCTCTCAAAAAATCTGAGCATGTTATTTCAAGAAATGCATTCACTTTGAGATCCAGAGAGCCTTTGGCTGACGACTGCTTTCAATGAAAAACTAGTCATTCCAGTGCTACTCTGGGATTTTAAACTAAAGACAGAACTACCATAACACTTGAATAAATTTAAATTCTAAAAACAAAATATAGACTATATTCACTTCAGAAGATCTTGTTGCATGGGTGATAAGGGGTGGGGGAGGACAGTTGATGTTTGTGAGCTAAAACAAATAATTTATTTAGGCAGGAGCAAAAACTCCAAGTCAATTCATCCATTAGTAAAAAAAAAAAAAAAAAAAAAGTTGGTAGAAGAAAATAAATCATCATAAATGTGATTTCCACACAATAACAGCTCAATAGCTTGGAATAAGAGAGCTTAACTCATAAAGCTTGTAAAATGAAATTTGAAATTACTAATAATTTTCGAAGATTTCTAATTCTTCAAGTCCAAACCCTGCATTCATTATTTGTTTTTCTAGTTAGCAATTTCAACCATTTTAGGGACAAGTCCCAGTAAATGTTGCATATTACATTACTTACACAATTACATTATTTAATGAGATAGTCTAGCATTAGGCTTCATGCTAGTTCTAAGAATGAATTAATATTTTCCCTGGACACTCATCAGAACTATCTGACATGTAAGATGCAACTATTAATTCCTTATGTTTGCAGTGTGAAATGAAGATTAGCTACCCTTCCACATTACCCTTAATAAAGGGAAGCCTTTCTAAGGCTCAGAAAAAGCTAACAAATAGATAGCATACCTAATAGCACAAATGTCTAAGATATGTAAAAAAACCCAGTGAGAAAAGAAGTACCAGAAGTACACAGTCTACAAGAACAAATATTTAATCTGAATAAAAACTGTCATACAGCATATTTAATCAGGAAATAAGAACATTTAATAGATAAATAATAGCTGTTTTTTTTTAAAATATATTTTTATATTATTAAATGTCCTAATAGTTCAAGAATAAAAATAACCAGGGTTGTTAAAATTAAATCTATTCAGGGCAGAAGACAGCTTTAGAAAACTAAAGCCAGCAAGCTGCAGCAAATTGCACTTCACACATCCCTATAGCTGTGATCCAGATCAAGGCATTTATCATAAATTGCTTTTATGAATTCCTAGAAAATGTATGTTTTGCATAAACAGTTTGGTGTATTCTGTTTCAGAACAACATAAACGGTCCTTTCAGTTTCCAAGAATGTGAAATCATCAACCTGATGTAAAAGACATCTCCGTAATTTATAAGTCTGAGAGAATGATTTGAGGCTAAAAGATTATCTAGGCATGGTCCCTGCCAAAAATATCCTGTCTCAATTTTCAGCAAAAACCATGATGATGAATAAGGGAACAAAAACACAAATGTTAATGAAAATGAGATACAGAGGTGGACATTATAATACCTGAGGAATAAAACTTGAGTGAAAAAAAAAAAACCTAGATTCACCACTGTTACACAATTCTAAGAAACCAGCACATATATCTGGACGCAAAAAAAAATAATTTTATGAGTCTATCAAGGTAAAGGTAACACAGTCGAAGTGAAGAATAAGGGTTCTGCTACTTAAAAAAAGGTTGTGATAAGTGCTGGTCTGTCAGTTTGCCCATAACTGAGGCTTACAAATAGATTTTGGGGGAAGAATGGTAAATGAGTAAATGGAAAGATATAACACAGGAGTTATCAAAACATCGGTTCTCACAGATTCTTTGACAATTAATTTTCTGGATAAAGGAAATGCAATGTATGTATTACCACAGAAAAGCCTCAAAATACTAGTTTAGATGAAATAAAAGCAGAGTACCCGAACAGTACACCTGAACTTTAGGTTGGCTGAGGACTGGCCCAAAAAGGAGATTACAGCTTGTAATGAGAGGAAAAGTGCCAGTTAATGATTTTGGTACAGAAGACTGGCATGTGCTAATACATTTGGGGATATCATTAACAGAAAGCACATCAAAATGCAATACAAAGAAAGAACAGATGATGTTGAAGATGAAAATAATCTGAATGGGAGTCAAACAAAGAATTAATTCCACAGTTTTTTCTGACAGTGATTTCCTTGTACTTTGGTGAAAAGATACTACAGCTTCCAAACTTAAAAGAGTGGTTAAGTTAGAGGAATTAACACATTTTAATGTAGAAGAGAGGGGGAGAAGATTTTAAAACTTACAAAGAAAAGAAAAGGACAGAGGAAGGATTTTATAAAACAGCCCAATTAAAGCTTATTGTCAGTTATGGCAAAAAGGATGCATTTCAAGTACTTATTTTCTGCTTGGTCTAGGTTTAAGGATGCTTCTAAGAACTCTTTTCTGCTTAAAAGATTTTCCAGAACAGAATAAAATACAGTTTAGTCTTTTTGAACACAAACAACTTGGAAAACAGCTCATTTGTCAGTGGGAAAAACTGGAGAAGATGCAGCTGGGCTGAGGAGTAGCCGAAAAAGTAGGAGTAACCTTCACAACAGAAATCAGAGGAATGAAAAAAAACCCTACTACTATTAAACAATATACATCATCAAAATCGTTACTGTTTCCTAATCCTCTAAAATATATTATTTGCTTTAGTTGAAATAAAATTAAAACAAGCTATAAACAAACTGTAAAGTGATTCTGTTTAATTGAACACATAAAAATGTAATGGGTAAGTACAGAGCCACGCTGACAAGCCATTCATTTCAGTGGAGTTAAACTGCTTTCTTACAGCTGAAGATCTTGCTTTATAGTAGTAGCGGTGTGACAACAATTTAGAAACATTGCTTGTAGGTAGTTTTCTATCAAACAAGTTTTATGCTAGCTTATGGCAGAGATATGCAAAAATGTAACCAATGCTGTTCACTCCGTGACTTCTTCCCATTTCAATCATAGGTGCTGGATACTTCAAAAGGTTTCAGATTTCTTCTTTATTATTTTATATTTTTACTTCCATGTTGTTATTGTATAAAATAATACACAAGTCAAAAGGAGGCCAATTCTATGATCAGGATTTCCTTAATTTTTCTATTATTAGGAGAAACATTTTCACAAGACTTCTACAAACTGTCATCCTTGCATAAATCTTTACTTTAGACACTAGCCTCTGGTTAACACCAAATGTTTTTTGAAAATTAGAAGATTCTACATATACTGAAATTCCCTTATTTATCATGTTAGTATTCCTTCAAAGTAGTCCACCAGATTATTTAAACATGAACTCCCATGCCTCAATCATTCCAGATATTTGCAAGAAAATATATACTTTTATGACTCTTCTGATTTCATTCAGATTTTCCTAAAAATCTAGTAATAAGTTTCTTGACACCTTCCTGATGCGATGGGGGTCATGTGATGAAGAGGTAGAAAAAAGGGAATAAAATCAAAGAAAAAAATAATTTCAAAGACTGTAATAAAACTACTACTGAGCTGTGCCAGACATTCAGCAATTTGTTCTCTATTAGCTCAAAATCTACATTAACAGATCAGCGAGAATGTTCTTCAGCCTCCCTCCATGGCTGAGGTTTATAACATTCTCTGCGTGCATACTTCAAAAAGCCCAGCAGTGAAAACTGCAATGACAGTATGAATCCAGTTTTTAAATAAAACACCACTGAAGTCCACCGTAAGTAGGTCTACGCTGTTTAGGTTCTTTGGTCATGAGCCAAGAGAGCTGAAAATGAAGTTCAGCCATCAAGCTCAGAGATCCAAGATTTTTATCATTTAGATGAGTTGCTGATTGGCTCTGAAGAGATGCTGCACTGGCTCTGCATCCTGAGGTTATTTTTCTGTTGTGTTTCCCCCCCCACCACCACTTTTTTTAACAGTAAGTGAAACTTTAAAATTACAACAGAACAGGGATGACCATTTGTACACAAAGTACTTGTGCTTATTTTTTATCCCAGAGTTTCATAAGCTGACAGAAAGGAAATAAAAAAAAATAAATACGGGTATGTTTTAAGAAAAAAATCATTAACCATTGGTGATTTACTCTCTCATACCTGTTTAAATAGTTGAAGATTAACAGCAGTTTCCAGGAACTGCTTAGTACTACTGGAACGATGCTTCACAAAACTATTCTCACAGAAAGTTATAGGCTCTCCCTAAAAAATTTAAACAGAAGAAGTTAGATGGTAACTAAAGTATACAAATATGCTTTAAAATTCTCCATTACAAATTTATTTCTTACAAGTCAATACACACAAATGTTCCCTTTCAAGCAATCTTGACAAACATGCATCCAATTAAACAGATGTAGACAACAAAAAAAAGCCCCAAATCTTCATACAATATTTACATCGTTCTCGAAATACATGTTCAACTGAACTTCTGGTTCATGAAGTCTGTCTACAAAATACACATTGCAAGCAAAAAGTTAAGTGCTTTACATTTGCTTCATGCTACCTTTATAGCACTCTTCATTAAAGATGTCAAGGAAGTAGTTTAAATTTTGAGGAAGAGTAGGTCCACCGCTTCAAATAATTTCACATGCATTATTGTTCAGGACTACTCCGATTCCCTGGCACGCTAAAGCAGCAATACTAGTAAACCAAAACTCTAATTCAGTCCAAAAACATATATCTGTATCAACTTATTTTTACATTTATTCTACCAAAACATGAGAAGATTGATAAATATACTGCTGATTTGACAGGAAATTATTGAAATACACATGCATTTTATTTTTATGCAAAAAAACCCAACCCTACAAACTTTTTGGAACACCGTTATGGAGAAAGTCTGAATAGTTGAGATTAACACTCAATACAATAAAATGTATTTTCGCAACGTGGGAAAAACGCATAGCCTATAGCCACCCAAAACCCTGCACCAAAACACTTTGCTGATGAAAGAAGGTCAACAAGGTATTCATTCAATTAAGTGTTTGTTGAAAAAATTATTACTGAAAACAGCACAAACACAAAGGACACTAGTAAGATTATTTATAAACAATCAAATTGACTCCTATGTTATTCCCTGATTTCATTTCAACTTTGCTGTCTCCAGTGTGCACAGGCCACTGGGCACTTCTGATAAGCACTCTCTCCAGTTCTGTTATGCTTGTCAAAATACTTTGTGATAAATACTTGAAGCTGTTCGGCATAACCAGGTAAATAAAAGGTACATCACAATGTTTCTGCAGTGCTCATGGTACATTTCATCATAAAGCCAAAAGGTCTCTCACCCAAGCTTACAAAACCAAAATAATTACCAGGTTATAAACAATTACCAAAGGTCTCAAAGACAGAAAATTTGGAATCCAACAAAATGCCACACCTAAATCTACCACAGATTATTTTACTCCCCAAAAGCTACATTTACAGCGCAGTACCACAACAGAATAAAAGACACCTCAGCCATTCAAAAGAAAAAAGATCAAAGACAGCTGCTATACGGATCTTCACAATAGCTCCAACTGTTAGCCACTTTAAAGACCAATTTATTCATGCCCATGATCACCACAGCTTTCTGCTCCGAACCCTGTTTAACTGCACATGCTCCTTCAGGCATTTTCCTATCATTCTGGCTGATTGTGCAGTCACGTGCTTCCCAAATATCACAAACTACTTTCTGCAGGTGACCTAGGCGAGTTTGGTGGAGTAGCTCTAAATAATTTTCCTTACACCTTGCACTTTGTTTTTAAATGGTTCAAGTATGCTCCAAGGAAATGTTTCCGGAAAAACAATGTGATGTCATTTTAAAATCCTATTCTTATACTTTCAAAAGCTTCCCTATTTTTAAGTCTCTCTTTTAAGAGGTCCAGTTCTACTCAGCAAAGTAGTTAAGCTGACGTTTAACCTGTTTTTAAGTTTTACATCCTTACTTGTTTCTGGAATCACTGATTTGACAAAAGAAATCTCACTCTAAGAGCTAGAAGCTACAAATTGACCTGACGGAATCCTCGCCCTTTCACAGGCCAGCTGGAAAGCTGCGATATGCAAACCCATCTCAGTGTAAGGTGTAGCACTGTGGCGATCAAGTCTTCAGAAGAAGAACTCAAGTTACTCCACCTAGCACTTATCCCAAGATAACTGGTGAACGCCATACACATGTAGGACATGCTGGCTCTGACAAAGAGCTTGAAACATTTGTGGTACTTTAAATAGCACTGCCTTGCTGACCCACTTTGCATTAGCTATTCTTGAGCTCCTAAAGACTCTTCTCTCAAGAAGATGACCCCAAGCTACTTAGCAAATTCAAAGTGCATCAAAACAAATGGAATAGTCTCCAGTGAGACATGGTGGTACAAGACATAGTGTTCCTGAGGGCAGACTCTCTTCTCAGTTCTCTTCTTCTTCCAAAAAAATTTAATTTCAAGGTGGCAAATTATAACAACTCCTTATTTTTATATATATAGTTGTTGTTTTTTCTACACAAAGAAATTACTTCTGGAAATCAAAGAGACAAAATAGTATTTTCAAAATGTACTACTTAGAAAAATAAAAACTAAGCTATGCCTCCACTACCACTTTCCCAAATGTTTTGGACAAGAAACCAAACATCAAATGTTTTGGGAAAGATGAAAGAGAAAAAGGAGATGTTATCTCCCAGCAGCAAACAGACATGCTTGCTCTCCCTTTCACATCAGCCTGGGAAGAGAGAGCAGTCAGATAGTGTCACTTGACGGTACTACTCCTGCCCCAGCCGTGTAACAGAACACCAGGAAATGGTAGTTCAACACACATTTTTAGTGCATGGCTGTAACATTTTCCCAAATACTTTCCTTTAATCGCTGGATGCTTCAGATACTTCATAAGCACTCATGCATTGTTGCATCTGTTCCCTTATCAGTACAGCTCAGAGACAGAATAACCAAAGCTATTCCTTAGCTGGAAATTTCTTTAGACCTACAAAGAGTTCATATCCAAAAGCCACCTATGTTATTTGAACCTACTGATAGCAAGATTTCTTTAAAAATTTGAGTAGGTTTAAAGCTCCTACCTGTTCACCACATGAAAATGAAAAAAAAATCTGTTTAAACTTGTGGAAATTCCACACTGAAGTTTTCTCAGGGTATCTGCTGTAACTTTACTGAAATTGCATTAAATAGTACAATTAACTCCTAGCTCTTTTATTTGTTCAAGGCTCTGAACTATATTGTTTTCCAAATAAAACTTTTACAGATCTTCAAGATTATTACTGTAAATGAGTCCTTTGAAGTGTTATTTACAAAATAAATTATTGAATCAATAGAAACAAAAATAGCTCTAGAAGCTTTTGTACATAAAGCTTATAACATTCTTGTTTCTGCAAATACAACCGGGTACCTTTAGAAACTTGAGATTTGGAGGAACGCTCCACTGATATTTACCTACTAGACCATCAAATGGCCCCTGTCGTATTGATCTACAATGTACTTTCAAAACAAGTTCGATCAAAACCCAGTAGGGACTCTATACTGAAAAGTAGACAGCTAATACTCAGACCAAACAATCTATGCCCAAACAAGATAGCTGTCCTTTTAACAACAGTTGCTATAGAATTTTCTTCCCCTTTCATAGCTTGACACACACAGCAGGAAAAAGTTACAGCCACATTTTAGGCAAGCTATTTATACACACCTCAATGGAACGAGAGAACAGTGAGCTAAAACAGTGTGATCATGTTATAAGGAAAAATAATCTAGATGTGCTTTCTCAATCTAATGATGTTTAACTTGAACAAGAAGTACAAACACTTTAATTCTTTATTTCAGAAAATTTATTGCTCTAGATGACTCATACCAACTATTTCCACTATTGCTATAATTAATACTGCTATAATTAATACCTGAAGAGTATAAGGTAGGTAGGTATGGCCATAGTTTCTTCGGTTTTGTATAATTTATTAAAAACAAAACAAAACAAAACATGTTAAACACCATTTTGGTTTTGATATTAAAACTCCCCTGTTTAAAATCAAGGAAGCACAAAGCTGAAATTCCACCTGCTGTCATGGCATTCAGAGATAAAGACCAGGGGTAACAGAGCATGACCTATGATTCTACTCAGGAAGGTGCCATTTAAAATTACAAACAAATTCCTGACAAATTTGCAAATTTCTTCCAATCTACCAGAAAAAGATTCAGATGTTTTGGTATTTATTATAGTTACAAATAAACCCTGCAACTACTCCTGTTAACAAAATATCTATATTCAATAAAGGACTACTAAGGTCCTTAAAACAAATCAAACAATATGATTTTCAACATGTAAAATAAAATTCTTTTGGAAGCCACAATAAATAGCTGTAACTAATACTATGCAGGGCGGTTCTGGATTTAAACACAAACCATGTTCTGGCCTTTCATTACTCCTTCTCTGTTTCTGTACTCTGCTGTCCTTTTTATCCCGAACTCCTGGGGGAAAGGCAAACAAGTCAATGCCCATTTCAAGAGATACCTGTCCTCAAAAGGTTTCATTTTGAAACTCAGTTATAAGCAATCATTACTTGTGCATTCTCAAGTAATTCAGGTGCATTCTGAAACTTAAAGTATCTCTTTTTTCCTAATATAAATTGTAATTGTATTATTTTGATTTATTGCATGTTAAATACAATATCTGCATCTGTTGGAGAGACAATGTCACTGCTTAAAATAGTGTCAATATTGGCCCAAAGCACTCTAGTTAGCATTCAATTAAAGTGAGGTCTGACAGGTTGTGCTATCTTCAAGCTGGAAGTTATCTTGGCGCCCCTGGTGTGCTGATGAGACCATGAACTCCTACTGCTAAGCATTCCAGAGCAAGCCATTAGCCTTTGCTCTTTATTTCTTAATTTCTTATGAGTAATGTTACAACCATCATAACCTAAAACAAAGTTATCCTAGGTTTATTTCTTTTGTTTTAACATCAAAACGTTTGAGAACTTTTTCCCCAAAAGGGTTGATTTTTTCAATGACTTCATCTCTTGTTAGCTAATTCTTGAAGAAAAGCCAATTTTTCAAAGGTAGAAAATAAGTTATTGTTGCTTATATTCCACAATAATTTAATAGATGTGTCATAAGAGGATTTGTTTATTTGAAATACATTAGGAATATATTTGTCTTGCCATGATGAATTACCTTTTCCTAAAAATAAAGAAACAAAAATATCACACCTGTATTTCCTCCTGATGTTTCCTGCTTAGTAGAAAACAACTTTTCTGCTTTGCTGATTTTCCTGATGCTGTTAAAATGAATCTCTATCATGGTGAATACTTTCACACTCATTTTTCGGCTTCTTCCTCGTTCTCTTACCTACTCCTCCCTCTCTAGACACAGATTGGGAATATTGCCTGTTTAAGAATTCTTTAGATCACACAGTGTTTTATTATCTGACCACACTGTATATGATTAATGGAGAAAATTTACTAGTCTTTGCTTTCATTTG